CAGGAACTTATTTTTGTTTTTCAAAATTGCTCTCAGATTTACGTTTATCGTATCATCACTGAGCAATGGCTGTTTTAACTTAAAACTTGAAAAATGCTGCCAGCAAGTACATATACATTGAAGTCTCAACATAAATGACAAGGGCAACGATGATTCAAGAAAAATTAAAACAGTAAGCATAAGAAACAGCAGCAACAAAACAGCAGCAAGCATAAGAAACAGCAGCAACAAAATAACAGCAGCAACAACTCAGCAGAGACAACAACCAAAAGGCAAAAGCACTACCAGCAGGCAGCAGCTCATAACAAGTTCAAGCAACTTCAAAATTATAGCTTTTGTTTTTTAAAATTGCTCTCAGATTTACATCACTGAGCAATGGTTGTTTTAATAAAAACTTGAGAAATGCTGCCAGCAAGTACCAAAATACATTTAACTATTTAAGTCTCAACATAAATGACAAGGGCAACGATTTCAAAAGTCTTGAAAAATGCTGCCAGCAAGTCTGAAAATAAATGACAAGGGCAACGATTTTAAAAGTCTTAAAAAATGCTGCTAGCAAGTCTGAAAATAAATGACAAGGGCAACGATTTTTCAAGATAAAATAAACCACAATGAGACACAAATACCAGTTATGCAGATGAAGCACTTTCGGCTTCAATCTCTTTACCAATAAGGAGGACGTCTTCCTCAACATCCGCTTCCATATACATGCGGTTCTTTGACGTTTATTAACAAAAGGATTGATAGTGCCGGTATTACTAGCATCATCAACCGGGAGTGGGACAGAGGCAGCTTGAGAGCTAACAGTATCAAAATTTGATTGCCTCTCATAGTCAAATTCATCATACTCGCGAGACATGACTGAAACAAAAAAAAACAGCATTTATAAGTACCAAATTAAGTGACAGATTCTACTAATAGTGAGAAATTAAGCATGCATTGTCTCATGTGACTGACATATGTGTACATTTTAAGTACTAACTTTAAGCCAACTTTAAGCCAATCATACAAGTATACATTTTAAGTATGTAATGGTAACTAAATATCTGAACACTCAACATCATGATCATATACACAAAAACTAAATTTGAACAAAAATTACATCCCTCTAAAAACAAAATAAAAAAATCCTCATATCATAAAAAGGTAGACAGCAGCAGCAGAAGGTAGTGTAAGGGTGAAAACATAAAAAGTTGCAAGTAGATAAATGTATTTGAACTTCTGTGGCTTCCACATAGCATGCATGATTTTCATGGTAAGTCATTTTTTTCAGTAAGGCATAAGGACCCACAATTGAATTTCAATGGATAAATTCATTCTTGAGTACAAAATATGCCAATTATTACAAGTATGCAATTGACAGTATGGTCAACCATCATTTTTTATGGAGTATGGACCAAAGCATGAAGCACAACTGCACAAGTATCATCATATTTTAATTCTTTTTAGAAAATAGAAAACAATTGCCTCATTCTATTTTGGATTTATTACTTTACTATAAAGAGAGTTGGTAAGAAGAAAACAAAATCTTTACACTTACTACTAATATCACAGCTAATTTAGCCTCAAATCAAGATGTACTACTAGCAAAAATCAACATTTCATTTGGACCAAATATTTACTAAGTAATTGTAAAAAAACAGCTATATGATATTTAAATTCTTAAAAGTACTGCCAAAAGATTAAAACTTTACATATGGTCCCTGGTTGTTCCTTAATAGCACAATGACAGAACGACGATCACGTTTCAAATACATTCATTACATTAGAACTAGAATAGAATTACATAGGATGCTAATACTAGGATAGAAGACACCCACAGTTATTGGATTATTTCAGCTAATAGTTACTAATAATTTATCAATGCTCAATCTAAAACAAATGAAAAGTCAAATTATATATCCTCAAAAAGAAAAAAGCATACATAAGAAAAGCTTAAACTTTTTCAAAAGTTTCCAATGAAATTATGAACCTATAAATAAACATGAGATGTTTATTTTACTAGCCCTAAACTAGCATTTATTTTATGCACATAACTGCAGAAAGTGACACAATTTGGTCTTTTGTTAGGTAAAAAGCCAATAAGTGATTAAGAAATCAACCAAGATTAGGACAACAATCCTTGGCTTAAAAATATAAAGCTAAAATCCCAATAAATAAACAATGCATGTATTCCAACAATAATAATCACATAATCTTAACAACCCATCATCATTACTTTTAAATCGAGCATAATAAACAACAAAACAACACAAATCTACCATTTTCCCGTAAAAAACAAAAATACAATCAACAACAGATTTTAGGCATATTTCGACTATATTCAAGCAAGAACAACAACAATAATCAAATACAAAAACAGAAAAACTGTATTAAAAAAAAAACGAAAAGGAAAAAGTAATTACCTTTGACGGCTTGAAGGAGATTTGAAGATGGAGAACTGCCTGAACTGGAGATCAAAAGAAAAAATCAAGAATGTAGATTATCAGAACTTGAAATAAAAAAAAAAACCGAAACGAAAACGAAAAAATCGAAAAAATTACCTTGAGGTTTGACGGCTTGAAGGAGAGGAAGAATTGAAAAAAAAAAAACGAGAATGGAAAAGTCAGAAATCAGAACTTTAGATCCAAAACAAAAATGAAACGAAAACAAAAAACCCTAAATAAAAAAAAGTAAAAAACCGAAACGAAAACGAAAAAAATCAAAACGAAAACAACAAAAATTAACAAAAAATTACCTTGAGGTTTGACGGCTTGAAGGAGAGGAAGATTTGAAAAAAAAAACGAGAATGAAAAAGTCAGAAATCAGAACTTAGATCCAAAACAAAAATGAAACGAAAACAAAAACCCTAAATAAACAAACCGAAACAAAAACGAAAAAAATCAAACGAAAACAACAAAAATTAACAAAAAATTACCTTGAGTTTTGAACTTTTGACGGCTTGAAGCCTTCAAATTGAAGGAGAGGAAGATTTGAAAAAACAAAAAAATGAGAATGTAAAGCGAGAAATCAGAAATGTAGATCCAAAACACAAATGAAACGAAAACAAAAACCCTAATTAGGATTTTTAAAAGTTGAGAAGTTGAGCTTAAGATTCTTGAGAATTTCAGAACGAAAGAGTGAGAAACTGAGAAGTTAGAGAGAGAAACTAAGACAGATTGAGAATAGAAGAGTGAGTAAAACGACTGAATGGCTGATAGAGTGGGCTTGAGATTCTAGGTTTAGGTTTTACTTGTTCAGTTGATCTAACCGTCCATATTCAATCTCAACATCTAACCGTTCATTTTTTTTTTTGTAGATTCCAGAATATTCATCATTTCATGTAGATCTAACGGTCTAGATTTTTCTTTGTGCTTTTCTAGGTCTTTTTGACCGTTTTTTTTTAATTATTTATTATTATTATTATTTTGAGGGATTATTATTATTATTATTATTATTGTTAGTATAATTATTTGTTAATATTATTATTATTACTAGTTTACTACTACTATTATTATAATATTATTATAATTATTATTATTATTACTATTATTATTATTATTATTTATTATTATTATTACTATTATTATTATTAGTTTATTATTTATAAGTTATAAATTGTAAGAAACGCAAATGTTTCAAAATTGAAATTGATTCAATACGACATAGTTAAAGACTTAATGAGTTAATGCACATCAATATCTGACATCTCTATATGTATATTATATATATTTGTGAGTCTGTGACTGTATATCAGTATATATAATAAACTAATAATAACTTAATAATTAATAATACTAATAACTAATAAAGTAATGAAAATCTAACCATTGTTTTTCATGGGCATTCAATCTAACCGTTGTATATTTGACTATTCGTACATTAGTATTGCATAATGATTTCATCACCACTTTAATTAGTGATTTCGTGATTTCGTCCATTTAACTTATTAAGTTGTTTGAGTTAGTAATCTAAATAAAGTAACAAACTAAATAACGAATCCATTTAATCTCGTGTAAATTATAATTTATAAGAAATGCAATGTTTGGAAATGGAAATTGATTCAATACGATATTGTTAATGTATATGTAATTATAGATTAATTATTATGTATATCATATCGTACGAATGTACGGTTGGTATCATTATCATACTATCATAAGTATCATTGCCTCATTGAATTATTGGTATGTACTACAATCGATAAACATATTTACATATCTGATTATTAAAACTTAAAAGTTTAAAACACTTGTTGATCAATCTAATTGAATACTTGTACATTCTTAATTATCGATTTATCGTATTATAAGTATCAACTCATTAAATCATGGTCATGACGCGATCTTTAAAACAATCATGAATTCATGACCCAAACCGCTTATAAACCGAACCGACATGATCCAAACCGTTCATAAACCGAACCAATTGAACTGTGTAAACCCTCCACTAAACCGGCCCATTTCAAACTGAACCGACATGATTCGCACCGTTTATAAACCGAACCGATATTGACCCGGGTAAACCCGCCCCTAAACCGACCCATTTCAAACCAAACCGGCTTGATCCAAACCGTTTGTAAACTGAACTGACATTGACCCGGGTAAACCAGCCCCCTAAACCGACCCGTATCAAACCGAACCGACATAATCCGAATCGTTTATAAACCGACCCGCTTATGACCCAAACCGAATTTAAACCGCAAAGAAATAAACCGAAACCAAACCGAGCTGTGACTAACCCAAACCGAACCAAACCGACCCGCCAGCTAAACTAAACCGTTTCAATCCGAACCGCTCCAAACCGAAACCGACTCAAACCGAGGTCAAACCGAACCGCCAGACCGAAGTCCCACCCCTAATAACTGGTATGATATGGTGTCACATCATGTCAAATGGCAAAATTGCATATGTTGCCATGAGTTTTAATAAGAGGAAGTAGTAATGAAGTCTTGATATGCATGTAGTAATACATATCAAGCAAACGGGGTCAGTTAGGAGGGAAAACAAACGGGGTGGGACACTTAGAACAGTAAAAAGTGAACATCTTAGAGAAAATAAAGGAAAAAGCTTGTATATGGGAGAGCGTATAATACAAGAGTACAATACAAAATTACTTTTTGATTTCCTTTCTTTCTGTTCACCCTTTTTCTTTTGATTACTTTTTGTTCTCTTTTCTTTATGTTCACCATTTTTCTCTTGTACTTACCATTTTCACATGAGAAGGGAGCCCAATTAATCTCCGAGATTAACATTCCAAGTTAATCTCCTCTCACGATTTTATGCATTTGTTTTCGTGCCACTTTACTATTTCACTTTTATTATTTTAAAAATAAAAGTAAAACAATATATTGTGAGAGGAGATTAACTTTTCACGTCAATGTCAGAGATTAACTTGAATTCTCTCTTTTCACAGGGAAATCAAAAATTCATGTGAGTTGAGGCACACAAGCTCAAGAATTAATGTTTGAAAATGGCGAGGAAGATGTTGGTGATGGAGGACTCGATTTTAACAAATAGTTTCTCAAATTTTTGTGATGAAGTCGGTGAAAGCGATTCCGGTGGTACTGGCGTTGTATTGGATGGCGACAAGACCGCCGCCATTGAAGACCCAGTGCCCGAAACAAGGGAAGCAACAAGATGATGAAGAGCATTGTGCTTTAGCACTAGAAGCTTTGTTGAACGAGGTAATCGCTACTTAATTTATTTTTAGTGTAATTAGGTTTTGGCAATAATTAATTTTGGAAATTTGATAATTTTGATCCGTGATAATAGATGTGAATTTTGATGGTTTAATTTGATTATTTTTTTTTTCCTACTTTTAATTTGGGAAATTTGATAGTTTAATTTGGCAATAATTAATTTGGGAAATCCTACTTTTGATCCATTAATATTGGGATTACATATAAATTGATCACCCATTTCTCAAAATTTGATTCTGAATAAAACCCAGTTCTAAGTTTTGGGATTAGATTCGTAAATGTGGTAAAATTGATTACCCATTTCTCAAAAATTCATCTATTGAAATTTTGTTATTGTTTCCCATGGATCGTGAAATTATCGCATTTCTATTAAAGATTTGAATCATTTTGCTGGTTTATTGCGTTTAGAGTTTTATTCTGGTTGGTAAAATTCAAGTGCTTTGTGATTTGCACGTTAAGATTATTAGCGTATGATGATTTTTGGTCTTTGCCTTTCAATATGTTCATCAATACCCCTTTCACCTGTTTAAAGCAGGCTGTGATTCTATGAGGGCTGGTATTGTCTTATTTCCTCGTCAACTCATTTAAGAGTGTGAAATTGATGCACTATTTCTTCTAATATTCATGAGTTCCTGCTTGGCTGTGTCACAAAAATGGGAAGTGGCAACTCTATATTCAAGTCTTTAGGATTATACATAGTAATTTATTTATTATGATGCCATAGATATGATTAGTGCTTGTTCATTCTACGCTCTCTTCTCCTTAAATAATTTGACACTTACTATTTTAAGATGCTTTAAAATAATCTCCACACTTCATTTTCAAGTAAAAGAAATTATTGCTTTGACAAGGGAATATATTGTGGTCATTTGGGGTTTTGTTTACATTTGGTGACTTGGTCAGCTGTAGATCTTTTTTTTTTCTATGGGTTTCTTCCTGTTCTCTGCAATAATAAGTAGTTGTAATGTTGTAATTTTATGGCTGATTGCATTCCTAGAGGCAGGTTCAGTATTTGGGCTATGTGTATCATGGGAATATTAGAGCCCTCTATGTGCCTCTTATGCAGGGATTAGTGTCTAATGCAGGCCAGTATTTTGTTTGTCTGTCGGTATTTTCCGACTTGATTTTTAGTTGATATTTTCTTCTATTCAAATGCTATATAGTTATAATGCATTCTCCTTGGAATTTTGATGAGCTTAGAAGCTCAAACTATACATTCTCCGAACAATCGTACAATATATGGTTTATGCATGTTAATTTTTGGATTTATGAATGTTTATGTTTTTTTATTTATGATAGTTGCTGGTTGATTAGACATTTTGATCATGTCTACTTGCGTATTAGTTTCGTATGCTGGTGAATTTAGTGTTTTTTAGCTCATGATTATTTGTCAAGCAATCTGTTTATAATTTGATGATGAATATTTGGTATGATTAATAGGTAACAATGGTCCAAAATGGTTGTGGAACTGTGCTTGACATGTCCAATTCTTAATGAGATGTCTTTCTTATATGAAGTAAGTTTCGAAGAATCGTATCAAGTCTTTAATTACTTTTATGGTTCATGACCTTTTGCTCTTTCTTATATGCTCGATATTCACATTTATGATGTATTCTAAATTAAATACATATTGTGAGTATGATAGGATCAATTTTAATCTCTAAATTAAATACAGGACATTTGGATTATCCACTGTGTTTATCAAGTCTACATTGACGGAGAATGGAGGGGTTCTGGATTCTACTAACTTGCCAACATTGATAAAGAATCTGCACCTGTAAACTTGTCTGATAGACTGCATGGCTGCTGACCTGCAGTGGTGGTGAAATTTGAGAGTATCTAGTTGTTGAACTGCTGCTCCCTCATTTATACTCTTTGTATAGTTAATATTTAATAATCTATATTATTTACAGAAATTACAAAGAGTATTAGTACTTTTATGTATATATGTCAGTTTTTGTATTGATTTTTTTTTATTTTTTTTTAAAAAGCCAAAAAAAAAAAAAAAAGGGACCACTTTATGCTTCCGTTTACACACAAAACGGGAGCATATAACAATTTAATACTCCGGTTTTTAGCCTTGACCCGGAGCATAAGAGGTTTTATGCTCCAGTTCATGCATACTTTGAACCGGAGCCATAAGTCACTTATGTTACGGTTCTACTATGTTACGGTTCTACTAGTGAATGTTGTTCATATAAAAATGTTTTTTTTTTTGGGTACTAGTTAATTTTGGATGCAAAAAATGTGAACTTGAAAATGTTAGTACGGGGCATTGTTAGCATATATCTCAGTGGTACATTTTTAATAGTTTCATTATTAACAATGTCAATGGTACCATTATTTGTGTCAGTGGTACGGTGGTACCCTTTTGTATGTCATTGATACCCTTGGATAATGATGTGTAGTGTAATCTAATATATATAAATAAAGTAGGCATTTTTGGAGAGCATTCGGAGCGCCACGTAAGAAATATACTTATTTCGACTAATAAGAAGAAAAAATTGTATTTTATATTTGAATTAAAAAATTATGTCGCCATCTAGATAAAAGTAACAAATTAGATTTGATATATCTAAAATTTTAATACCACGTAGATTATAATCCACGAATTAAATTATTTTAATGTAAAAAAAATAACGTAAAAATATAGGAAAAGATAAATTTATTAATTCAATACTACGAGTATAAGAAATCCAAAAAAAAAATATATTAAGAAATATTTAAATGATAAACGCTTATAATGAAGTTTGATACCTACCATTATAAGATAAATTTTGATAGTATTTATGATAAGAAATACAAATTGTTCAATAATTATAATTAAATTAAAATTTGTGATACCTACCATTATAATTGACACATCATACGACACAAACAAAATTTCGTATCAATAAAAAACCCCACAAAGTGAATTTTGTGTTAGTAATTTTGTGTTAATTTTTGGTCATCAATGGCCGGGTAATTTTTAGCTTAATTTTTAAAATATGTTTAAATTAGTATTTCTATGTTTACCAATATTTTTAAAACAATGAATAGTATTTCTATTTAAAAATAGGATTTTAATTTAAATCAAACGAGGTTGGTGATTCTATCGAAATAAAAGATATGGTAAAACAATGAATAATGATATAGGATTTAAATTATTAAAAATTTATCATTTCACATTAAAGATTTTATATAACAGAAAAATATTATATTTACAATTTATTTATATTTAATAAATCTAGATATCAATAGTACTTTGTATTAATTATAACATAATACTAATTCATTCTCCGTAAATGCTAATTTAGGACAATTAGCAATCATTATCGGTTGGTTAATGAAGAAGATAGGATTAATTGTATAAAATTAAAATTAAAAAAATGTGATTAAGTAGCTAAATGGTGCTAAGTGGTGGGCGACGACAACAACAACACCAACATTAAAAAATTTGCACCAAAAAAAAAAAAAAAAAAAAACTTAAAAAATTAATCCTTTTGAAAAATATTAATCCTTATCATTATTATTAGCGATGCACGACAATTGTGAATGTATATTGGCTATCTAACGCATATGATTACTATTTCTAAGGAAAAAAAAGCTTAAGAAATTAATATTGGCTATCTAACGCATATGATTATTATTTCTAAGAAAAATACTTAAAAAATTATGTCATCGCCTAAGTAAAAGTAACAAATTAGATTTGATATTTTAGTGCCACGTAGATTATAATCCAAAAATTAAATTATTTTAATGAAAAAAATGAAGTAAAAATATAGGAAAAGATAAATTTATTAATTCAATACTACGAGAATAAGAAATCCAAAAAAAATATATTAAGAAATATTTAAATGATAAACGCTTATAATAAAGTTTGATACCTAGCATTATAAGATAAATTTTGATAGTATTTATGATAAGAAATACAAATTGTTCGTTAATTATAATTAAATTAAAATTTGTAATACCTACCGGTATAAATTGACACATCTTACGACACAAACAAAATTTCGTATCAATAAAAAAAACCCATCAAGCGAATTTTGTGTTAATTTTTTGTCATCAATGGCCGGGTAATTTTTAGCTTAATTTTTAAAATCCTATGTTTAAATTAGTATTTCTAATTATTACATACATTGAATTAATTTGGGATACTCAACGATTATATGTTTATGTTTTATTTACTAAAAGTTTTTTTACATGCAAATCTAACACATCATACAACACAAATAAAATTTCGTATCAATACAAAACCCCATCAAGCGAATTTTGTGTTAGTAATTTTGTGTTAGTTTTAGGTCATCAATGTCCGGGTAATTTTTAAAATCTTATGTTTAAATTTATATTTGTAATTATTAGTTACATTGTATTTATTTAGGATACTTAACGATTATTTGTTTATGTAATGACATACGATTAGATGTTGTATACTTAATATATGGATGGCTTTGGTTATTTTTGGAGATGATGAAAAAATTCCAATGCATAGATTTGATTTTATATCGCAACAATTTTTCATTTATTGGTAAATATATTGATTATTGTATATAAATATAAAGATTTAATTTATATCAATTTCAGTATGGCTAACATTTGACGGTTCAATTTATCCATTGATGTAGTAGGTTGGTTGTGGACAAGGTTGGTGATTCTATCGAAATAAAAGATATGGTAAAACAATGAATAATGATTTAGAATTTAAATTATTAAAAATTATCATTTCACATTAAAGATTTTATATAACGAAAAAAATATCATATTTACAATTTATTTATATTTAATAAATTCATTATAAATTATAGTAAACAAAAAAAATATTAAACTTTTGTAATTTTGTCTGAAATTATTAAATACAATAAATTAAATAATTAAAAATCTTAGATGAAAAAACCGTACATCGCACGAGCTTCCATTTAGTCTTATAATATTAATAAGGGAAAATCTATCTATAAATCTACCTAATAGTTGTTTTTGGTTCTAAGCATGGGGTAGGCATGTTAAATTTAATAGATTTAATTTGTAATATATGCAGTCTAATGGTGCTGTTATTGGGTTATTTGGATTGGTTCATATTTTTTTTAAAATGCTCTAATCATCGGTTGAATCTACTAGGTTTGTATCGTTGGCAAGTTGAGTGAATTGTAGTTAGTTATTAAGTGTTTATCATAAATAAGTTGGGTTAGTTCTGATCTAATTTAGTCCAATCGTTTCCTTCATATAATGTGATGGCTTATATTCTCTATGCCCTTTTATTTATTTATTTATTTATTTATTTATTTATTTATATTTTTTCTCCTTATTTTACTTTTCACCTTTGTGTTTTAACAAATTCTACTTTTTGAGTTTAATATGAAACAAACAAAATAAATAAAAAAAATAAAAATCTACGGTAGCATAAAAAATACTTAATTGAACATTAGTGTGCACGTTGAACTAATTTGGAATAATAGCATTTAATAAAGACCCTAAATATCTTTTTTTTTTTTATTTTTTTATTTTTTATTTTATTTTTTTATGGGAGTTTACGGCTATGGTGGTACCCTAGTAGGTGTCAATTGTACCCTCAAGGAGACCAAGTGTACTTTTGTTTTACTCAATGATGAATTTGTTTCAATTGTACCTTACGATATTATAATGGAATCCTTTCAATACAGTGGTACCATTATGACTTAAATGGTACTTAGTTCTTATCTACCATTTGCTCTTGTATTTTAAATATTAGTTGAATCAAATATAATATCAGATTACCAGTGGTACCTTTCTGTAAGTTAATGGTACCCTTTTGCGATTTAATGGTACCCTTTTGTATGGAAAAAGCTTTGCGATTTAATGGTACCCTTTTGTATGGAAAAAGCTTTGCGATTTAATGGTACCCTTTTGTTTGGAAAAAAGCTATAATGAGTAATCAAATGATATATTACATAAATAAATCGTGCCATTTATGAGTAATAAAATTATATATTACATAAATAAATCGTGACATTTATGAGTAATCAAATGACATTTATTTATCTTATTCTAGGCAAAGTAAGTCAGAAATAGTGATTGAATAGTGCATAATTAGTCAAAGTATTTTCCAAGAAGCGATCATGATATTTTTTTTACTCCCGCCGTGTTTAAATAAATGAAAGATTTTGACTTTTTGCACTATTAATCTAATTCACTTTGACTGATGTTTGTGATTATACATAAAAATAAATATAGTCATGTGGGTACTTGTGGGAATCGTCTAAATAAATAATTTATTAATGTTCAATTTTTATAATTTTAACTTATTGATAATTAAAGATATTTTCAGTCAAAGTTTTGTATTGACATACGTGTACAAGAGAAATGTTTCACTTAAACATTTTAGGGTTTCACTTAGACATTGTAGGGTTTCACTGAAACAAATAAGAGTATGACTATGTAGGGTGAATTGCAAGATTACACTCACACAATGAAGGGATCCACTAAAACATTGTAGGGTTCCATTGCAACGATGATGGGTTCCACTAATATAATGTAGGGTTCCATTGAAACAATGAAGGGTACAACTCTTCGACTATGTTTGCAGGGTTATACTTGTACAATGAAAGGTTCCACTAAAATAATGTAGGGTTTCAAAGAAAAAATGAAGGGTACAACTCTTCAATTATGTTTAGGGTTAATTTAATTATTGTATAAAAGCAAGTGTGATTATGTTTTTGTGGGTAAGAAGTTAAAACCAGTAAGTGTCTTAAGAATATTGATATAGTTCGTTTTAAAAATAGAGAATAAAAAATCTTAAGAATATTGACAAACATGTTGTTTTTGTTTGGACCAGTAAACTTGACGTGAAAATCTATTAGAGTTGATATTACAAGTAGTCATCTATTGATCTAACTTCTTGTTTGGGATATTAAAGGTTTATGTTAAATTTGAAGCTATTGTTCATTATTCATTGAAGCTACTGTTCATTGTTTTTTGGTTTGGATCAACTTAAAATAGAAAGAAGG